TTTCAGTACAATTTTTTTTAATTCAGGTTTACTGATGAGAAGAATGAAATTTTCTTGTGAGAATAATATTTCACTTAACTGGGGTACAAAGTTAAGAGTTCTCTAAAGGCAAAATGAGATTACAAAAGTAAAAACTATTTGTAACTTATGGGCCACACAAAAACAAGCAGTAGGCCATACATGGCCCATGAGCCATAGTTTTGACCCCTTCTTTATAACAGAAGAATGACTGAGAGAAGTAGTGTTAAATGTACTTTCTTCACTTCGATTATCTTTGCAGCATCCATGGAACATAGAATACAAGAAGATTTCCATCTTAAAGACAGAAAACCAGAGATTTGTGGGAATTTTCAGAATAAAATTAAAAATTCAGAAAACAAAAAATGATTAAGATAAGAACATTTATTACTACTTTAGTTGGACCTGTGGGCTTGGGACCATGGTCACAGGGGACATCAAACCTAATTGGCATAAAATACTACACAAAAACATTGTTCTATATCCTACTTTGGCGAGTAACCACTGGGATCTTAAAAGCTTGCCAGTGGCCATCTAGATGCAACAATGGGTCTCTCCTCATCCAAAGCAAAGAAGAATGAAGAAAACCAAAGATACATGGAAACAATTAGTCCAAGTGACTGGTATACCATGCGATCCTCAGCCTATATGACTATGAGACCAGAAGAACTAGATGGTGCCCAGCTACCACTGTCAACCACTTAGAGGAGGATCAAGTGGGAGAACAATTTGGAATAAAACTGAAAATCATAAAAAATTAAAAAAAGGGAAAGACCAGGTTTGTTGGTCTGATAGCCTGGTGGAAACAAAGCCAAACAAAAGACAGGCATATGAGCTGAACATTTACATTAGGTAGATAGACTCCTTGGAGAGATCAATCTTGGACTAATAGAAGGGCTGTGCATGCACAGGAAGACAGCTTGCAGGGCAGGAGTGCACAGAGGGAAGGACATAGGGAAGAGGTAACTATGGGAAAGCAGTGTGAGACGAGTGGTTGCATTGTGGGAAATTGCAGTCAACGTCATGAGACAAAGTGTATGTGAACTGCTGTATGGAAAATGAATTTGCTCTGTAAACTTTCACCCAAATCACAATAAAAAAATAAAAATAATAAAAAAAAGAACCAACTGAAATAAAAAGGATAATAACAGGATATTAGCAGAACTAAGCTCCCACAAATGTGAAAACCTAGAAGAAACTGATAGATTTCTAAAAACACACTATCTACCTAAACTAATACAACCTGAAGTAGAAAATCTGAATAGACCAATAACAAAAGATGAAATTGAACAGATTAAAAAAAAAAAAAAAACCTCTCAACAAAAAAAAGCTCTGGCTCAGGTGGCTTCACTGGCAAATTCTACCCAACATTCTGAGAAGAGCTGACACCAATCCTATTCAAACTATTCCAGAATAAAGAAAAAGGAGGGAATACTCCTGAATTCATTTTATGAAGTGAACATAACCCTGATATCAAATCAAGGCAAAAACACTATTAAAAAAGAAAATTAGAGACCAACATCCCTCACATAAACATAAAAAATACACAAACTCACTGCCACTGAGTCAATTCCAACTCATAGTGACCCCCATTGAGTTTTTGAGACAGTAAATCTTTACAGAAGTAGATTGTCCCAACTTCCTTTTGCAGAGCGGCTAGTGGGTTTGAACTGCCAACCTTCTGCACCCATTCCTGATAAAAATGTTGAACAAAACAGGAATAGAAAGGAAATTTGTCAACATAATTAAGGGCATATAAAAAAAAATGGCCAATATCAGTCTCAATGGAGATAGTCAGAAAGCATTCCCCCTTACAAATGGATAGTAGACAAAGATATCCTTTATCACCATTCCTGTTCAGTATTGTATTGGATGTCCTATCAGAGCAGTGAGGAGGAGCTCTGGTGGCGTAGTGCCTAAGGCATTTGACTGCTAACCAGAAGGCTGGCGGTTCAAAGCCACCAGCCACTCCTCAGAAGGAGACTGGGCAATCTATTTCCATAGAGACACTGCCTTAGAAACCCAAAGAGGGCTCACTATGAGCCGATATGACTTGAGGGCAGTATCAGAACAGTGAGGCAAGAAAGGTAAATAAAAGGAATTCAAACTGGCAAAGAAGAAGTAAAATGATCTTTATATGCAGATGATGTGATCCTATACATAAAAATATCCCAAAGACTCAGAAGGAAAATTACTGGAACTAATTTAAAGATTTAGCAAAGTGGCATGGCTTAAGATCAATGTAAACAATCAGTCAGCTTCCTTTACACTAATAAAGAGAACTTTGAAAAGGAAATTAGGAAAACAATACCATTTATAATAACGACCCAAAAGTACTTAGGAATAAATCTAACGAGAGTCACAAAAGACCTATACAAAAACAAAACAAAACAAAACAAAAAAACCACCACCTGCTTTTATATAGTCACTGAGTTAACAATGGTTTTTACATTTTTCTGTGGAGCAAAACTCAAAATCATTAAAAAAAGACCCAGCTTACTGGTCTGATAGAGGCTGGTTAAGTTCCCCAAGACTATGATCCCTAGTCACCCTTCAGGCCTGGAACTGAACTCAACTCTGGTAGCTTCCAGCCAAACAACAGATAAGCATATAAGGTGAACATGTACACCAGACAGGTACACTCCTCAGAGCAATCAAACATAGAGATCAGAAGGGCAGTATCTGTACAGGGAGATAGCTCAGAAGGCAGGAATGCACAGGAAAGAAGGACACAGGGAAAAGGTAACTATAAGGAGGAAGAAGGGGGAAGAGCGCTGTTACATTATGGAGATTGCAATGTATGTCATGAAACAAAATGTATATGAAATGTTGTATGAAGAATCAATTTTCTATGTATACTTTTGCCCAAATCACACATATACACACATAACACAAAAGAATAGTTTTTATATTTTTAAATACTTGGAAAAAAGGAAAAAGGATAACATTTCATGACACATGAAAATTACATGAATAATATCAAGTTTTATTAGAAGACATTTATGATCATTTGTTTACATATCGTCTGTGGCTCCTTATGCACTGAAATGGCAGAGTTAAGTAGCTGCAACAATGTGTATGGCCTACAAAGCCTAAAATATTTACTAAATTTTTATTTTATTGAAATAGTTTGTCAACACAAGACACAAGGCATTAAGGTCTCTTCTCTACACTAAAGAACTCATTCCATCTTTTCCTTCAAAAATGTTTTAAGAAGTATTAGCATTCTATCTTCCTATATGAAAGAAGTATTATTTGAACATACTATATATCAAAAGCCAAACTCAATGCTGTCAAGTAGATTTGACTCATAGTGACCCCTCCCTCCTTGGGTTCCCAAGGCAGTATCTCTATGGAAGTAGATTGCCCAATCTTCCTTCTGAGGAGTGGCTGGTGGCTTTGAACCGCCAGCCTTCTGGTTAGCAGTCAAATGCCTCAGGCACTGTGCCACCAGAGTTCCTGAATACACTATATAGCTGATTATATTTATGGAATGTTCACTCTTACTATTTCCTATTATCCAGAAACCATCTTCAGAGACAAGTAAAAGCAAAAATTTGAGACATGAGTCCTAATGACTAAGGCAAACAAACAAAAACTTCTACTGATGTATCCAAGAATTTGCTGTAATTTCCCACACTGCACTAGCTGTAGCATAAGCCAGAGTTTGCAAGCCTATTTTTAAATTTGGCTCAGGACTAGGCATCCTTTAGTTGTATTAGACATAAGGTCACTATCAATTGGAGTTAATTCAAGGGTAACTGAGAATCACCGCCACCACCGCAGCAATAGCAGCAATTTCTAGCGCACACACAGTACTTACATAAAGTACTACATGAACACCAACCACTTCAGTATACTATATTTTGTCATAGATACATATTTTTACATTTTATTATTTTGCTAAATATGGAGGTTGGGGAGTAGATTTAAACACATGGAAGAGAAATCTCGTTTGTAAACCTATTCTCCAAGACAAGCCTTCTAATGTGAATGAAGTTATACGCCTCTCATATCTCACAAGTCTGAACCAATTAAATTCAAAAGTTAAGTGTTGCTTCACCTAAATCGATCTCATTAAATATACCCACTCATTTGATAATAATACCCTGTATCAAAGAAGTCTTTAATGTTCTTCTTTGAAAGAGCAATAAATTATTTCTCATCTTTTGTAACAACTCTCCAAAATAAATACTATTATCCTCATTTCAAGATAAGGAAACTGAAGTTCAATAATTTATATATCTTGCCTAAACTCTATTTTATAAATTAAGACTAATCATTAATTTAAAGAATTACTTGTTCTTCACTATTTTCGTACTAAGTTAATTTATAAATAACTTTAGACCACCCAGATTTTCTTGGGTTTCAGAAAGATATATACATAGAAATAATATATTTTAAGTAAACCATGTAATAAACATTATATATACTCACAGTACAACATAACAGAAACAACTTGCTTCTTAGTGTAAAAGGCTTCTATACTATAATTTGTGAAATATTTGTGGTTAATAGTAGAAGATTATTCCCCTTTTTTGGCAAAATTATCCCTATTAAAGGCTTGGAGGTAAAAATGTATAGTCATAGTATTACAGATTATCTTGATGTAGTGTGTAAATCCAAGAGTGGTATGAAGTCTACAACAGAAGAGAACAAAATATTGTTCAATAGTTCTTACCACGTTATACTAAATATATATATTCCTGACATTTACCTAAATGGAGAGATCTGAAATAGATGAAGTTAGCTACTTAAGTTCAAGGATAAGGAAGTATATGTATGGTAGACCTATACCCCTAAATTTAACTGTCTTATAAACCTCAGATGTCTTACTTTGAGAGGTCTTTTAAAATCAATTCTCCAAATTCCATTCAAATGAGCCTAGATCTTTGAAACTTAAAATTCAATTCACATTTTGCTTTGAGAAGTCAGTATTTGAAAAAAAAAAAAGGAAGGAAAAGAAATTCTTAAATTCCTACCATCCTCAGTCCTTGGCTGCTGAGGGAACATGTAGTTAGTAAGCACCATTTTCTGAGTCTCTGAATCAGTCTCTTTTTGAAGAGGTATCAGGGGTTTGGACTAGAGAAAGAAAATAAATGCTTAATTTTCAACAATCCTAAAGCAAATACATACTCAGTTATTTGTCTTCTATAAAATATCAACTTGTGGATTACAAAGGCAAATTTAAATATACATAATAGCATTTTTAAATCTTTAGTTTGAAATTTTATAAAAATCTAAAAATAAAACTTGGTTTTTATTATAAACAAACTCACATCGTTTTGCAATTATCACTGTACTATCAAAACAATTAAAAAAATGTTTCATATACTAAGTACCCATGGCCTAATAATTGTTATCACAGCAATTTATTTAATAGTTTTAAAATAGGACTTTCTATTTTATGTTATTTTGTCCAGTCTAGTACTCCCCTCCTTGGAAAGATGATTTTGTAGAAATCATTTGGAAAGTTTGGTCTAGTTATCTAAAGGTTTATTCTAATTATCAGCTGAAGAGAGAATGTTTAAAATAAACGTTATATTATAAACTGCTTGTCTTTCCTTCCCGTATGTTTCCTGTCTTTATTAATGGCAACACAAGTCACTCTGGTAGAACTAGAAACCTCAGTTATCTTCAGACTTTTAAACCTCATGTTTTCATAAGACTTTTTTCTTAACTGAGTGCCTTGTACTATCAACTTACTTGTTAATCTAACTAATTCTTTTTGACACCTATTCACCTAAAACCCTACCAATCCAAGCCCTGGCTGACTCCAGATGGGCAGAGGAGTTCCCAATTCTCCCTTCAAATAGCCAACCTATAAATTCTCTGGATCCTTTTTCATAGAAACCTTGCAGCTATCAAATTCCACCCTGTAATCTTATTCTCATTCAAATATTTCTTTTGTGCCCTCTACTGGTTTCACAGTAAACAAACTGCCCTATGTCTCAAACTTCTTCACATTTTCAGCATTTTTTCTTTATCTCCACAGATGAAAATGGCAGTTCTAAAAATATCAATCTGAACATACCATTTGCCCGTTCAGATGTTAAACTAGTTCCCTCTCCTGTACTGGGACTGACAAACATGTATGATAAGGGTCACTGTTCTTCCTTCTTTATTCAAGGCAGATATGCTTAATTGTTCATAACTAGAATGCCCAATATCCATTTTATACATACTGTTTTGACATAATTATCAGCGGAGCCCCTTTCACTCTCAACAGTGTCATAGTATGGACAATAAGTTATAGTCACCCTAACCACAGCACTTTTGCACTGAGCCTGAATATGATCTCAGATTCTGCAATACAATTCTTTAGGAAGTCACTTGTAAAAGATTAGAGTTGATACGTAAGATTAAAAAAAAAAAATCAATAAATTGTATTTGCCATCCTTTCCATGGCATACAAGGTCTTTCATGAATGAGTTCCTGTCCACCTCTCTGGGTATGCTTTGGTCTTAAGGACCACTTGCACAGGATCAAATACATTAGGCTGCAGGCACCTAAGTGCTTATTCTCATAGTAGTCCTTCGAACCAGAACTGCTACCTTTTGTTTGTTTAAATCTTTTTTCTCTTTGAAAAGGCAATTCAAGCATTTCCACCTCTGAGAAACTTGTCTTTACTGCCTCAAGTTATCTTTCTAGTTTGATTCAGAAACGTAGTCCAACCAAAGCTTTTAAAATATTATATTAAAATTGTATGTCCTTGTTTCCCCCACCTTAGCTTGCCTGGCAGAAAGCCATTCTTCAGTAAGTATGATAACAAAAATGAATGAGGGAAAGAGTAAATGAACAAACAAATGTTCTGCTCAAGTGTTCAGACGTACTCCAGAAAAGCACTGCATGTTGAACAGTAGATACTATGCTCTACCTGGTCAGTGAAATAACCAGGAACAACTTATTTCCATAATTCACAAGTAAACTTTTTTCATATACCCCCTCCTTTGTTCTTTTACAGCACAATGATTACACATTGTATAGTAAGGAATTACTGTAATTAACAAATGGGGAGGAGAAAGGGAAGAATGAGATAAAACTATAAATATACAGAAACCATATTAGATACTACATACTTTCAGTAATATGAGCTATCTGGGATAATTTTCTGGTATTAATTTATCCAAAAAATGCTATTATATTAATAAAATTAAAATGAGAGTTCTTCAAGAAAGAAGTTAAGTCTCATTCACACTATAGTTGGTATGCATTAAACAGGGCCCTGCAAATGTTTCCTGAAACCAAATAAAAAAATGGCAATCATCAATTAACAGATAAAAAAATTAACATATGTGAACTGAAACATTTAATAGAAGCAATAATCACTTTGTTCAAGCGCTAAGAAAAGCAATTATCTCATCATCTTAATACTTTCTTTTCAAATTTACAAAAAAAAGTAAATACAATAGTCCAATTCATAAGATGAATCAACAATAACTTAAGGCTTTAGGATATTAGTGGGTGTTAGCTGTAAAAAGTTCTCAGTTAAAGAGTTTGGAGAATTCTGAAATAAACAGACAAGTGGGTTTCTTTACCACAGTAATCTCAGAGCTGCTAATATAAAACAAAACAGAGATATATTATAGTTTCCTAATTTGATTATGGAACTTATGAGCATCCTATGAGACCAGTGTATTCCACTGTGAGAAAATACAGTTTTAGAGGAATTATTATATGATTGTGTGCAAAATCAAATGCTAAGCAGTAATTTTTTTTTTTTTTTAATTAAAAACACTGTTGTTGTCTTGCTATGTGCCGTCAAGTCGGCCCCGACTCATAGCAAAACCCCCTTTGAGTTTCCGAGGCAATATCACTGCGGAAGTAGATTGCCCAAACTTCCTTCCAAGGAGTGGCTGGTGGGTTTGAACCACCAGCCTTCTGGTTAGCAGTCACATGCCTTAGGCACTATGCTACCAGAGCTCCTATTAAAAACACTAACAAAATGTATATTTAACTTTGTTAAAAACCATTTATCACAAGAAAAACATGGTAACAGATGTGGAAAATACTTCACTCATATTTCAAGATAATAAGTCAGCCTTTCATTTTTCCCTTGGCAGATTTTAAATCAATATCCTTAACTTCCTGAATAGTATTTTCTAATTCTTTCACTACTGTCATACACTACACTTTTTTAGGACCTATAATCCACTATTTTCGGTGACATTATAAAGGAGATTTTTCATCCATTAAAGCAGCAGATTTCAAAAAGACAATCTCTAAGATTCCTTTCAACTATAACTCAAACACTAGTAAATAGAATATTTACTACTAAGACATATCATGTGCCAAAGTCTACATGTGAATTCTCAGACTGAAAACTAAACATTTCAAATTGAACCCAAGACATTTATTCTCTGTATAATATGCTTTTAATAGCTGAAATATATAGCTACTATCTGCATGCATGAAATACTAAAATTTAACTCAAACCAAACCCACTGTCACCGAGTTGATTATGACTCATAGTGACTCCCACTGGGTTTCCAAGGCTGCAAGTCTTAATAGAAACAGAGTGCCTATACTTTCTTCAGTGGAGTCGCTAGTGGGTTTGAACTGCTGACCATCTGGTTAGCAGCCAAATGCCTTAACCATTACACCACCAGAGCTCCATAAAGCATCACTAGGGCAATAAAATATATTCAGTGTCTTGACTTCCTTAACTCCACACTCATTTTTTTGAAAAATAATATTTTATTGAATTTTTGGTGAAAGTTTACACAGCACGTTAGGTTTCCACCTGACATTTTCAACACAAATTGTTCTGTGACATTAGTTACATTCATCACAATGTGTCAACATATTTTTTAATTGTGTTGTTTGTTCATTTTCCAATACTATAGTCTCTCTGACCCTTTATCATCTATCTCATCATGATTATTTTGAAATAAGACCCTGATCTTACTGGTAATATTCATTTTGCATGCCATTCTGCTATTTCTTTAGAAGATGGCCTTAGGGGCTAGGATCAGTTCTGGACTGAAGAGTGTCTTCGTGGTGATAGTCTCAGGGGGTCTACATTCATTTTAATATACTCAAATCAGGCTTTCATTCCCATCATTTCATTGAAAATGCTCTGATGCCAAGGTCAGCAATTACTTTTAAACCAGAAACCCAATATTCAATTAGCAGTCTGACCCATCAGCAGTATTCGACTTCCTTCAGATGGCTTTCTCATTCTTCTTTCTGGATATCCTTTAACCTGGACTCAATCTTTGGCCTTTCTTTTTTCTCTATCTATTCCTTCTCCCTTGTAATCTCATCCATTTCATAGTTTTAAATCCTTTATTTGTACAGTATTGACTCTCAGATTTTTATCTCCAGCCAACACATGAGTTCCAAACTTAAACTCCAGATTTGATATTACTACTTTAACATATAACACACTTCTCAAATTTAACAATGTCAAAAATCAAATTCTAGATATTACCCCCAAACTCGCTCCTTTTCCTTTGTCTCCCTTGTTTCAGAAAATAGTAACTCAAACATTGTACTTGCTCAGGTTAAAAGCCTAGCAGTCATACTTGATTTTTCTTCTGAAGTTCCACATTTTGTCCATCAGTAAGTTCTACTGGTAATATCTTAAAAATATATCCCTATCTGAACTCTTCTCATAAACTCCATATTATCACACTAGTTGACGCTCACCAATATATTTCTTCTGGACTATTAGAAAAGCCCCCTTACTACTATTTAAGCTTCTCATATTGAATAAACCACCCTCACCCCTTATCACCCACAGTTTATTCTTCATACAACAGTGAGAATTTTCTTTCAAAAATATAACTCAATCTTACCATTCCTTGGCTCGAAATACTCCAACAGACCTCCATCTAACCCAGAGTAAAATTCCAAGTACTACATCCTGTAGAAGACTCTAAATGATCTGGTATTAGTTTTCCTCTCTGATCTAAGCTTATACAATTCCTCCCCGCTCATTACAATACAGTCCACTGGGCATTCATTTAAATCACAAATATACCAAGCTCATTCCCGTATTAGGGCCTTTACACTGAATGTTCCCTAAATGTTCCATCCTGCCCCTCAAGGATATGCATGGCTCAATCCTGATATAATTTGGTACTCTGCTCTACTGTTTCCTCATAAAAGAGACACTGCCCAATCACTCTATTGAAAACTGGACATCTACTCCAACTATATGGACTATATGAAGAAAAATGCAGCATCAGGATTTGAGAAAGACTCATTAACAATCTACAATATACAGATAACACAACCCTGCTTGCTGAAAGTGAAGATGACTTGAAGTACTTACTGATGATTAAAGACTACAGTCTGCAGTATGGATTGTACCTCAACATAAAGAAAAGAAAAATCCTCACAAGTGGAACAATAAGAAGCATCACAATAAATGGAGAAAAGACTGAAGTTGTTAAAGATGTCATATTATTTAGATCCACAATCAACATCAATGGAAACAGTAGTTGAAAAATGAGACATTGTAATGCACTAGGCCACTAGGCAGACGTACTGCAAAAGACCTCTTTAAAGTGTTGAAGAGCAAAGATGTTACTTTGAAGACTAATATGCACCTAACCCAAGCCATGGTATTTTCAATCGCCTCAAATGCATGTGAGAACTGGACAGTATATAAGGAAGACTGAAGAAGAGTTGATGCTTTTGAATTGTGGTGTTGGCAAAGAATACTGAAAACACCATGGATGGCCTGAAGAACAAACAATATGTCCAGGAAGAAGTGCATCTGGAATTTCCAGTGGAAGCAAAAATGGCCAGACTTCGCTCACCTACTTTGGTCATGTTGTCAGAATGGACCATTCCCTGGAGAAGGATGTCATGCTTGGTAAAGTGGAGATCAGCGATAAAGAGGAAGACCCTGAACAAGATGGACTGACACAGTGCCTGCAGCAATGGGCTCAAGTACAGCAAGGATTGTGAGGATGGTGCACAACCAGGCAGTATTTTGTTCTACATTGTACACAGAGTCACTATGAGTCAGCGCGAACTTGACAGCACCTAACAACAACATCTGCTCCAACCCAGCTATGTTTTTAATGCCTATCTCATTTCTTAATAGCATTTACCACCACCTGCAACTTCACTGTGTACTTTTTTGTCCTTCTTGCCCAGCTCAATGGGAATAAGATTCTATTTGCTTCATCAACACATTCCCAGCTCCACAAACAGTTCATGGCCTATTATAAATGTTAGATAGAAAAAGTTCATGGAGTAACTCTCGAATATTCTAGAAAAACTTCTTTGAGGACTGGGAAGTATCCAATTAGAAACACAATTTAAATGATCAATCTTCTACACAAATATGATAATTTCCTAATCTATGTATCTTTTCTTCACAGATTTAGGGGAAATTAAATCCTGCAGGATTTGTTACCCCAACTTCATTAAATTATGTGTTTCTAAATATTTACTAAAACTTTTCTGCATAAATGTTTTATAATGTGTATCAGAGTACATACATAACTGCTCTTAAATGTTTCTATGTAAATTAGAATGTACCATTATTTAATAAAATTAGAATATAATACTTTACAAAATTAGAATGCCTACCTGATTATCTGAGAGCCACATAGCTGTCAATTGCTGCAGCTTTGTAAAGCTAAAGGGCAAATTCTTTAATCTGTAGGGAAAAAATACAAAGAAAAATTAAACTTTAATAGGAGAAGATTTAAAATTATTTGAGAGCTAAATTTAATGGCCTCCTAAATAATACTGTATTATTTTAAAGAGAGAAACAGTTACTTTGGGGGATAACCCAACATAGACCTCTGAATAGGACATAAAATATTATACAGGTTTATAAGACTATGGTTTTTTAAAAAATTGTTCAGTTGTATCAATTCAGCTGGCCGGAAAATGGATTATCTAATAACCTCCAAAAAGCTGTCTGTCAAAAAAAATTTAACTGTCTGCCTTAGAGCAAACACTTGGACACATTAAGCAATGTATCACAAAAGTACTTTGGCGGTTTTATTTATATTTAGAGAGAACATACTGTTACAAGAAACAATGCTTTGAGAGACAGTACTTTCATACACAAGATGACTATTCTAAGGTGATAATGAGTAAAAACAAAGTAATATAAATACTCATTCAAACGCTAAATTAAAATGGGACTCTATTTAAAATAGGATTATCGACTTCAATCCTGCTAACAAATCTGTCTATTCTTCTATGCCTATCTTCTAAGGCAATCTGCTAGCACTTAGTACTGAAGTCTTGGGGTAGAAAATATAAGCTAAAACAGGAACTTAATTTAAAAGCAGCAGTTCTTTTTAAATGAAACGGAATTGAGAATACCAGTAAGAAAACTGGGTTTAATTTAAATTTCTACCTTATACCTTGTGTGACCTTAACTAGAAGTGAGTCACCTTAACTAGGAGTCTTAATTTTCTCCTCTCTTTGAGGAAAAATCATAGACATTCTGCTTAACTTCTAACTCAGCAACCCTAGTAATTTATTTGGTCTATACCCTGGCTTCGTTGCCCAAACTACGTGAGTGAATGCCTAACTATACCTGTGCCCCAAAGATACAAGCATTAGATTAGATTCAAAAGCTGTTTTGTTGAACAGCAGCATTAAGGTGAAGATATGCATTAAGCTATAGACGTAAAAGGTTACCATGAAAAAAAAAAACGTTCTACAGCTGAAGTTAACCCAAAAAGAACAATGCCAAATAGCATGATAACTAACATAAGAAAAATCAGATCATCCTTTCAGGTGAAAATTGTAATTAAAAAATAAAAATATGTCAAAAGGGAAACAAGCATTAAACTTTCTATCACATATCATGTGAAATTTTAATTCCATTCAATCAATGTTTTCCATAAACCAACGGATGAACAAAACATTACAAACCTATTATCACTTAAATTGATGACTTTTAATTTTTGCATATCACCCATTTCCTCTGGAAGTATCTCAAGTTTATTAGAATGAAGAAATAGCACAGTTATATTTTTCCAACTTCCAATCTGAAAGAGAAACAAATTTAAAAATCAAGCATTTGGTTTATTGTACACTGATGCTCACTGCTACACTATTCACAATAACCAAAACAACCTCAGTGTCCATCATTTTGTATGTGACACATATGTACAATGGAAAATTACTCAGAGAAATGAAATTCTGACATGCTACGACATATGAAATGATGAACCTTGAAAACTTTATGCTTAGTGAAATAAATCAGACATAAAAGGAAAAATTTATAAGCCCATTTATATGAAATCTCTAGAATGGCAAATGCATAGAGACAAAAGCTTTCAAGTGGTTATGAGAGGATGAGAGGAAGCAGGAATGGGAATTACTGCTCAAAGGATACCGTGTTTCTGATTGGAGTGATGGAAAACTTTTGGAAACGGCTAGTAGTGATGGTAGCACAACACAGTGAATGTAATTAATGTCACTGAATTGTATCTGTAAAAACAGTGAGAATGACAAACTTTTTGTTTTATACACATAATAGTTTTTTTTTAAATTGACCATTGGTTAATCAATATATTTTATATGTAAAATATCATTTTTGAAAGTTAGGCAAAATATTAAATTTTGCAAAAGGAATTACATTTTCACTTTTTAAATACTATTAATATTAAAGGAAAATATTTAGATACCTCTTCTCAATCAAAGTAACTAATTATTATTTTGAAAATTACTCAACGATATATGACTTGACAGCAGTGGGTTTTTTATAATTATGTAGGACAGAAAAATAAACTAGAAAGTTACAATAAAAATAATTAGAAAAAGATGAAAAGTTAAAAAACTAAACCAAATTTAAAAACAGTACCTCCGGTGGTAACTGTTGTAAAAAATTATGATCTGCAGCAAAAGTTCTTATATTAGTAAGCTGCCCAATAGATGAAGGCAAAGCTTCAATTTCATTGAAACTACAGTCCAGTTCTTCTATTGATGTCAACCTTTAATAATAATAAAAAAAAAGATTATTTTAAAAAGGTTTGATATGTATAATCCAAAATTTAATAATTTATAAACATTTGATCCTGACCTTAATAAACTTAAGGAAACTTTCCATTCTACTAACCTAAATTTTATCAATAAAGTGGTCCGCCTATCTTTATTATAAATATGACCACCTGTATACCAATTACTTAAACATTTATTAAGTCTCTTCTAGCAGTTTTTTATGCAATTATCTGAAAATATTTACACATGGAGTGCTGAACTGAAAGCAAAATCTTCTAGTTTTTTAAAAATAAAAATCTTACCCTCCTATAGATTCTGGTAGATACATTAATTGGTTTTCATCTATTTTAAGAGTTGTTATCTTCTTCAATGAACCTATTGAGAAAATAACACAAAAATTATCAGTAAGAACTAGAAGCAAATCCACCATCAGCACCTATTACATTTGGCATGAATCACAAAGAACTTTCCTGATTAATGTACCCAAGAGACACCATCTCAAAACTATCACTCTCTACTCCTTATCCTACAATTTTCACCTATATTATCACCTCTTGTTGTTGCTGTTAGGTGCTGTTGTTGAGTCAGCTCCAACTCTTAGTGACCCTATGTACAACAGAATGAAACACCGCTCACTCTTGCACCACCCTCACAATCCTTGTTATGTTTGAGCCCATCGTTATAGCCACTGTGTTAATCCATCTAATTGAGGGTTTTCCCCTTTTTCGTTGGCCTTCCACTTTACCAAGCATGATATCCTTCTCCAGGGAATGGTTCCTTCTGACAACATAACCAAAGTAGGTGAGACGACGGCTGACCATTCTCACTTCCACGAAGCATTCCGGCTGCATTTCCTACAGCACAGATTTGTTCTCCCACACCACAACTCAAAAGCATCAACTTTTCCTTGGTCTTCCTTATTCACTGCCCAGCCTTTGCATGCATATGAGGCGACTGAGAACACCATGGCTTGGGTTAGGCGCACCTTATTCTTCAAGGAGACATCTTTTCTCTTCAGCACTTTAAAGAGGTCTTTTGGAGCAGATTTGCCCGGTGCAATACGGCATCTGATTTCCCGACTGCTGCTTCCATGGGTGTTGATTGCAGAGCCAAGTAATAAGAAATCTTTGACAAATTTAATCTTTTCTCCATTTATCATGATACTGCTTTACTGTGCCAGTTGTGAAGATTTTCATTTCATGCTGAGGTGCAATCCACACTACAACTGTAGTCTTTAATCTTCATCAATAAGTGCTTCAAAAGTCATCTTCACTTTCAGCAAACAAGCTTGTGTCATCTGCATATTACAGACTGTTAGTGAGTCTTTCTTCAATCTTGATGCTGTGTTCTTCTTCATATTGTTCAGCTTCTTGGATTATGTGCTCAGCATACAGATTAAATAAAAATGGGGAAAGGATACAACCTTGACACACACCCTTCCTCCACCAAGATGCAGAGATTAAGGTTTTTGGTCCTTTTTCAAAATAATTCCATTCACTTAACACACATCATCAGACAACCAAATCTATAAATATAGTCTCAAAAACAATTATAGAGCTCAGACAGGAGTTGCTTAATTTAGTCTATTTTCTTGCCTGTGACTCTATAATGAAGTAGTCCTGGTAAAAGTTACCAGATAAGGGCTAAGATCAAGAGTTATGGGTAAGCTAACTTCTTATATGGAATTAAAATGTTATTAATGGTATTTCCTTATAGTAAAGAAAAGCAAAATAATGTCAGCAAAGGAGTAAAGTGAATTGTACAACTGATTACACATCAGGAAAATAGTTAAATTAAGATCTGATCCCGTAGCAATACAGAAAAACTACCTTCAAATAAATATATTTTAATAATATTATATGGAAGCTTGTAATCAAGCAGGGGCAAAGATTTAATTTCTTAGATTTCATTTTAGTAAAAACTAATTATATGAATTTGAAAGCAATACAAACCAATAGTCTCAGGCAGTTGTTGCAGTGAATTGCTTGATAACAGGAGGTCCTGAAGATTTTCACATGCTGAAATTCCTTCTTCCACCATTTCAATATTATTTTTAGAAACATCTAAATATGTGAGCTGTTTCAAACTACCAATAAACTGTAAGAAAAAAAGGAAATCTAGTTAACTCCATTCAGTAATTTGTAAAAAGTTTAGAATTCATAATTAAATATTCATATGAGAAAGAGGACTTATAAAAATATTTTTAGTAATGTATCAGTAATAAAAGTTAAGAGTTCCTACTGATTTTAGCCCAGCAGAATGACAAAAGACACATATTTCCATTTGAGAACTCAGCTACTCATCATTTGTAAGAGAAATAGCAAGTATGGGGATGCTTATGACTTCTTTAGATCTGAGAATATATAATTTGCCAGTTGAAAAGACAGAAAGTCTACACATGGGAAAACTGGTGTTTTATCAATTTCTTGGGCAAACAGCATTAGAATATAAGGTCAACTGCTAAGACTGGCAGGAACACAATGCAGAGTATCAAGAACAGACAATTACACAAAGTTTATTTAAAAAGTTTTCTGATATTAATCAAGAGTTTGTTCATAGTTAACCAAAAAAAAAGAATTAATTTGTTTCTGTTTAACGCTACTAATAATTAAATAAAATCCTCTACTTACTAATTAATAGTAAGTACACAATTAATAAAACTGCAAAGGATCAACAACAATAAGTAAAAGCATTTAACATTTGATATACATACTCCTGGAATAAAAGTCAGTCTGTTACCATCCATCCAAAATTCTTTTAATCCACTTAGTTGCTCAAGTACTTCAGGCTGTTTGGATAGGGAGAGAGAAAAAAATATTATGTGAATGTGTCTTTATTTAGCAAGAGAACCTCCTGGGGATTTTTAATGATAACTATTTAGTTTCAAAAGTTTAAATACAAAATATAGTTTCAGCTACTGTAAAGAACAATTGTGAATAATCTGAAATACAATCCAGTATCTCTTAACATTTTAAGAACAGAGGTATAAGTACTGTTAGCATATATTAGTTTAAATAATATTGGACAGTGCTTTAGCATTTACCAAAAATTCAAAAACATTATTTTATTTAATCCTGGCAGCAACTTGTAAAGTATGCAACACATACTTTACTGTTAACTAAGTAAGTTAAGTAAGTACACTGCCCAAAGACCCACAGCTTACAACAACAACAAAAAAGGCACAGCCAGGACTTGAGCCTTTCAACTACATTACAGTTACTACAATAACATTTTAAAAAAATGTTTGTCCTTAATTCTGGTTCATGGTGATCTCACAAGTGCCACACAGAACTGTGCTTCCAAGTTTTCAATGGCTGATTTTTTGAAAGTAGGTAGCCAGGCCTTTCTTCCAACACTTTTCTAGACTCAAACCTCCAACCTTTGAGTTAACAGCTAAGCACGTTAACTGTTAGCACCACTCAGAGACTGAAGGAGGAACTCTGACAGTCATTCTAAAACAGTAAATTACATAAAACTCATTTAGGATTTGTATTACATAACAGGATGAAGTATTACATGATTAATAAAGAAAAAAATAAGATCCAAAGCTGGCAAGAGTGAAATAAAAACTCATCCATTCTTAATAAAAAGGTGAAGCCTTTTAGAGAAGTGATCTCATCTTAGAAAAACCACAAAGATGCTTCCTGGTGATATTAATACAGGGGGAAAAATATGAAAAAAAAAAAAGGGAAGGGAAAAGACAAGATACATCCAGTAACAAAGAAAAATTTAATCAATCAAACTGTAACTACATTATGAGAATACTCTGCTATTTTAAACTTCAACTAAAATTGATGAAGAGAGTTTCAAACATACAAAAGAAAAACCAAACTCGGTGCTGTCGAGTCGATTGCGACTCACAGTGACCCCTCCTTGGGTTTTCGAGGTGGTATCTCTACAGAAGTAGACTGCTCAGTCTTCCTTCTGAGGAGTGGGTGGTGGGTTTGAACCTCCAGACTTCTGGTTAGCAGTCAAATGCCTTAGGCACTATGCCACCAGAGCTCCCAAGTTAAAACATAATAAAGATTAATAAGAAGAGTAGTTTAAAGAAAACATGAGGTACCCAAAACATCTGGGTGTCTATTTAGTGAGCAAATGTACAATATGACACCCATAGGGCAATATTACAGCTAAAAGGGCCAAGAAATTCTTATTCTAAAGACTATCATTTGAAATCTACCAAAATTTTAAACATCAAATTTGTAAACATAATTTAGAAATGTTAATGATGGTTGTGACAGTTAAGGTTGTGTGTCAACTGGGCTGGACCATGATTCTGAGAGGTTTAAGCAGGTGTGGTATGGTCATCCCCATGATGAGATCTGATGTGTATGCTTTGAGCAGCCAATCAATTGAAAGGGAGTTTCCATGGGGATGTGGCCTGCTTCATATATACATATACATAGATAGATAGATATAGATAGATAGATAGATGGAGCTCTGGTTGCATACTGCCTAAGGCATTGACTGCTAAGCAGAAGGCTAGAGGTTCAAACCCACCAGAAACTCTTTGGAAGGAAAACTGGGCAGCCTACTTCTGCAGAGATACTGCCTCGGAAACTCAAGGAAGGGTCGCTATGAGTTGAATCAACTCGATGGCAGTGAGTCTGGTTTATATAGATATATAAACTACCTGGGAAAATTTGACGACTTTCTGTAGATCTGGATCCTGTCGTGCTGCCTATAGCTGTCCTGTAAGCCAATAATCCACCATTTTGCCTGCTGATCTGGGAGTCATCATCCACCAAAGTCAGCAGCCTGTTACACTACCTGGCAATATTGAGCTTGTCAGCCCCTGCAGCTGGGTGAGTCAGGAAAAGGTTCCAGCTTGACATGTGATCCAGGAACTTGGGACTTGCCAGTCTCTATAACTGTGTGAGCCCTTTTCCTAAAATAAATTTCTCTTTCTCTCTCTCTAAGCTTTACTGGTCTTTCTTCTCTAGAAAATCCAGTCTAAGACATTTGATTCTGGGAGTGGTTCTAGAGAAACAAAATCATAGAATAAGTTTCCTAAATTGGTTCTCACCAATTCTGTTTTGATTCTCTAGTTTGATTAGTTGTAAGGGCACTGATGACTCTGCCTCCACTAGTAAAGAGGGCCCTGCTAATCCATGGCATGAGGTGGCAACATTAATACACAAAATAAAACCAAACTCACTGCCGTCGAGTTGATACCAACTTATAACAACCCCTCCTTGGGTTTCCAACATGGTATCTCCATGTACTTTCTTACAGAAGTACTTCGATTAGCCAATCTTCCTTTCGAAGAGTGTCTGGTGGGTTGAATCACCAGCCTTCTGGTTAGCAGTCAAATGCCTTAGGCACTACACCACCAACACAATGCAACACAACACCCTGCCACTGAGTCAGTTCCAATTCATAGCAACCCCTCCTTGGGTTTCTAAGGCGGTATCACTACGAAAGTAGATTGCCCAACCTTCCTTCTGAGGAGTGGCTGGGGGGTTTTAACCACCAGCCTTCTGGTTAGCAGTCAAATGCCTTAGGCACTATGCCACCAGAGTGCCTACTACACCACCAGAGCTCCCCATATACAAAATGGTACTACCAATAGAAAAAGTATTTTTGACAAGTGAGGTTCTGAGTTATTGCATATTTGATACTTTTCTGCAATTTTATCAGCATGAGGAGTATAAAGAAGCTGGCTGGTTGGTCCTAATTACACTAGGGAAATTGGTGAAAGAACAAGATGAGCTCAGGGCTGCTGTTGTAGACAGGATTGTTGTGAATCTGAACCAATCACAAACAATAATAATAGATAGTGACATACTTACCACTTCTGTGAATTCATTACTTCCCAAATCCAGTCTTTCAAGCTGGGTCAATCTATTCATGGTTCTATTCAAAATGGATTAATAAAAGACTTAAGTATACAGAAATATTAATCACATGGAAGCCTTCAAATTTCCAAATTTTAAAAATTCTTATGTAGTATTTAATAAATTACAGATTTTCACTTATTTGCAAAATAACAATTTCCTAAGAAAAGTCATTTTTAATTTCTACATAAAAAGTTCTTATCAATTATTCCTTCTAATTTCTCATGTCATCTTACTTGGCTTCTAAAGATGTAATCACAGTAAATTTAAATGGACAGGCCAGAATATGAATAATTGGCCTACATTTTTTTTCACAGAACAAATTTTCATATTATAAAAATCAGCTTATGAGCCTATCTGATAGCAACATGTTATTACCACCATTCTTCAAGTCTGCTCATATATTTGTAAAATTTAAAATGCCTGTAACTCAAAAATAATTTTAAAAATTCTAAGAAGAGTAAGTATTAAGTTTTTCCCCACATTTTCTGGTTAAATTCAACAGCCACCTTTTCAACACAATTCAAAATAAAGTGTTATGAAAATCACAAATACTGATGATATTTATTTCAAATTAAAGCTACAACTATACAATTTTAAATCCTCGATTAATACCAACTTTTCCACAACTACAGGGTCTTGCAAAATGTATAAACTGATTTTGTAAGTAAATAAAATAAACTGTACTTTATCTCTCCATCTAAAAGGCAACTATTAAAACCAATTGCTAATTAAATCAAATATACGTATACTCTTAAATTGCTATTTGTATAAAACAGCACTATTTTGTACACTGACATGCTACAAAGACAAAGAACTCACCATTTAAAAAATATTTTAGGTTATGCAGGAGCTCTGGTAGTGTAGTGCCTAAGGCATGTGACTGCTAACCAGAAGGCTGGTGGTTCAAACCCACCAGCCACTCCTCGGAAGGAAGGTTGGGCAATCTACTTTCGTAGTGATACCACTCTGGTAACCCAAGGATGGGTTGCTATGAGTCAGATCTAACTTGGTGGCAGTGCATTTGGTTTTTTAGCTTTAGGTTATGCAACCTATGGTACATACACACAATGGAATACATTGAAGAACAATATAGAACATTGTGAAACACTACATAACGTGGATAAACACGGAGGACATTATGCTGAGTGAAATAAGTCAATCACAGAAGGACAGATTCTGTATTAGTTTACTAATGTAAAAAGTCAAGGAAAGGTTTATATATGGAAGGAAACTTTCTTTGTTGGTTGCAAGAGATGGGAGGGGAGGAGAGGGAACACTGCTAGATAGGTAGAAACAAGCACTGATTTGGGTGAAGGGAAAGGCAATATACCAAAATTGAGTGACCAACAATAACACTAAGGAAAAGGAAGACACAGAGAGGTGCACAAGAGGTACAGATAACAACGATAAAACCTGTTACATATACAATACTGTGTTATCAGTGATAACAAACAATCTATGGGTAAGTAGATGGGTAGACAGGCTGAATGATCAGGTATGGCTAGGCAAAAGGGAATATACCCCTGACCGTATATAAGGTTGGCAGATGATATTTCTACATACACATTTGTATGTGCTGTAAGAATGTCCACATAATTAGAACTAACAGGCAGCAAAGTTATGATAACGTCTTAGGCACAGTCAACCACCCTGATGGAGCAAGTTATTGGACCTGTGGGCTCGGGACCATGGTCACAGGAGACACCAAGCTCAATTGGCATAACATACTACACAAAAACATTGTTCTACAGTCTACTTTGGTGAGTAGCGACTGGGGTCTTAAAGCTTGCAAGCAGCCATCCAGATGCAATAATGGGCCTCTCCTCAACCAGCACAAAGAAGGATGAAGAAAACCAAAGACACATGGAAACAAGGGGACTAATGGATTACAGAAATCTCAGCATATATGACCACGAAATTAGATGAACTAGATAGTGCCCAGCTAATACTGTCAATCACTAGGAAAGGGACCAGTGCAGGAGATCCTGGATAAAGTGGGAGAATAATGTGGAACAAAACTCAAAAGAACATTAAAAAAAAAAAGACCAGGTTTACTGGTCTGACAGAGCCCTGTGAGACTCCCGAGACTATGGCTCCTAGTTATACTTCAGGTCTGGAATTAAACTCACTCCCATGGCTTCCAGCCAAACAATAGGCAGGCATATAGGGTGAACATTTACACGAGGTAGAAACACTCCTTACAACAATCAATCATGGGAGAACAGAAGGGCAGTATTTGCACAGGGAGATAACTCAGAGGGCAGAAATGCACAGGAAAGAACACAGGAAAGAGGTAACTACAAGGAGGAAGTAGGAAGAGAGCTATTATGTTGTGGGAACTATAGTCAATGTCATGAAGCAAAATGTATATGACCTGCTGTATGAAAAATGAATTTGCTCTGTAAACTTTCATCCAAATCACAATTTAAAATAAAATGATAAAGTATTTTAGGTAATACAAATTAGTACTAAAATACAGTTATTATCTTATTACCAATATATTACACTTTGAGATTCATAATAATTTGAAAATTAACATAATTATAAACCAAACAGGCTTCTTAAACCTGAACACAAGAACACACACACACAATAGTCAGTATTTTGGAAAATCAACAAATTAAAAATTAAGTAAATTCAAATTCAGTTAAAATTATTTCTCCAGCTTTTTAAAGAAATACATATATATATATAAATACACCATCTCTCCAATCCTTCCATTTTAAATATGCCACTGTATCACAGTACCTTTTATTTCCTTGATCGCACAACGCCTTGTTTTTTCTCAAAGTTGCTTTATTTAACTTAGATTTCCTGAGTGCCTATTTTCTTAAGCACTATGAAGTACTATAAGGGGCTCTGGTGGTGCAGTGCCTAAGGCATTTGGCTGCTAACCAGAGGTTGGCAGTTCAATCCCAACAGCTGCTCCACAGAGAGAAGATAGGGCAATCTACTTCCAAAAAGACGTACCGCCTTGGAAACCCAATGGGGGTCGCTATGAGTCAGAACTGATTCCATAGCAGTGAGTTTGGTTTTTATGGATGAAATACTGTAATTCCACTTCCCCCACTCATCTCTCTCTTGCTACAGAGAACCTGTAAATAACTTCCAGCTTGCTTTATGACAAAACAAAAGGTGTTTCCAGGATCTTTCTTCAGAAGTACAGAATCTCATGCTATTTAATTTAAACTCTCATATTCACACTACTGTACCAGGTCAAAATTTGGAAAATGCAAAGAGAATTTCAAGAAGAGAAAAAGGAAAAAAGGTAATCCTGCATTTCTTCACTATAGTAACAATGACTAGATAGTAGAAAATTTGCATGCAGCAACTGAACACATATCAGTGAGGGTAAATTATGAAACTAACACATATCAGTTTTAGAAAAAGGTACAAAAAAGAAAAGGAGTGCATTGGGGTTATTCAATTATAGACAACTTCCTAGAAAAGAAAAGGTTTAACAAAGATTTAGGAAAACATGAAGATACAGATATATAATTAAAAAACAGGAGATATATTTAGATAAATATGAAGTCCAAATGGTACTTCCACTGGAACTCTCTGTGCCTAATAATGGCAACATCCTACTCTACATACTTCAGAATTCTAAGAAAGAAAATTATATCTACATGAAAGTCCATTTCCTACTTTAAGCAGAAAATAGAAACAATCTCCCACAAATTTTTTTCTTTTTACCTCTCAAATTCATTTAGATATAACTCATTTTTACCTTCTCCTCTCCTGCCTCAATGTACAGCATCTCCTCCCTTATTAGTGTTCTTGGTCCAGTGCATTCCAGCTATGGTGGTATTTAATTTCCCTTAACTACATACCTTAAACTAAAAATATCTTCTGAAGTCATTATCCTTTTTTTTGCATTTGATTTCAGGAGAATTTATTAATATTTCAAGAAATGCAAGAGGTTCTTGCAAAGGTAAAAATTCATACTAAGTAAGCTCTGGTAGCATAGTGGCTAAGGCACTTGACTGCTCACCAGATGGCTGGCGGTTCAAACCCATCAGCCACTCCTCGGAAGGAAGGTTGGGCAATCCTACTTCCGTAGTGATACTGCCTCGGAAACCCAAGGAGGGGTCGCTATGAGTCAGGGCTGACTCGACGGCACATAACAACAACAACAACAACAACAACAAGCTATAGTATAAAATGTATAGTATAAAATATAAAGTGAAATGTTACTGGGTAGTTTACTTATGATTTTTTTTCTTTACTTGATTTTCTAACAAACTTGGAAGAAGAGCTGTTATGAATACCTTAATGCTTCTGAATACAAATAAATAACTGTTGATTATTTGTAATTCATTTCAAACTGTACAAGTTCTAGGGTTTTTTTTTTTTAATTTATTTTTTCTATATAATACAACAGTAATTCTTTAAAACATTAATGAATAAACCTTAGGGTCTGTTAAAAAATATATAAAACAGCACTTCACACTGCTCTTATCTTTGATCATAAAAAAAGTACAGTCACATAACTGATGGACATGATTGTTGGTAAATTTAATAGTATGGCCTTTTTATAGTTTATGAGGTCCAAATAAAATAAAAGGTTTTACTTTATTTTATTGTGGTAAAAACATACAATTTGTATGATAACTGTCAAAGGGAAACCTAATTTGCTGTATAAACTTTTACCTAAAACACTAAGTATTTAAAAAAAAAGTTTTATCATAAATCTTGAAAAGAAAGTAGGAAAGAATTAAGGTTGCAAAAGCAATTTGAACCTTTAAAAGGAGTTAAATGACTGTGATAGCAGAAAGACCATAAATAATAGACTTAAATTACAATAAACATTTTACATGTTGGCTATTCAAATCTCAGAACTTACTTTGGAGAGTCAAGTTTTGAGTATCAAATTTGTAAAACACTTAAACTTTCTGAATTTTAATATTAAACATAACTTTAACTTGTATTCACACCATCACTATAAACTTCATTCTGCTGAACTAACAATTACAACAGGATTACATTCTGATGACTCCATTATAAGTCAGTTCTGAAATAAGTCAAATACTTTTTTTCTTTTTTCAGTTTTTATTATTGCCTGTTATTATCAGTATATCATTTTATAAATGCAATATTTTTCTGTCTTTTGGGGGTTGGAAACATTACATATAAACATCAGCAAATTATATGCTGCAACAGTGCAATCCATATTACTAACCACAAGATGTTAAAAAAAAAAAAAAGCCAGTGTAATCGAGATTTATTTTAACTCAAATATGTTGTAAGTCAGATAAAAAACAAAACAAAACAAACTCTCTCTCTCTCTAATACATAATGTCCTTTGGAAATGAAAACTATACTCTTGCCCTCAATGTCTTACAACTGTGTATACCATATTTGTACGCAAACAACACACATGTTGTATGTCTTTTACACCTACTGCACAACTTCTTCACACGTTATTTTCCTACGTGTGCTGTAAACATTTTGTGTATTGTTTCCAAGGGCATGTCACTTCTGAAAAAGACAGTACATGCTGGTCAGGGAAGAAGGAAATGACAAGTATAAAAACAGATGCATTAAAGAAATGTGGTAAACGTTATACCAGATATAAATAAGATCACTACAGAAGCTGAGTAAACAAACTAACACCTAGGGAAATTGGAAATGCTTCCCTCCTCAAAAGGTGACAATTACACAGGGGACATCAAGCTCAA